GGATTATGTAGTTGTCGAGCAGTCGACTTTAAGCGTTGCCTTATTGATTAAATATTTTCAGAAGCTGGTCTTCTATAGAGCATTACTTCGTTAATATCCAAGATCAGTCCACGTTTTGTATTTATTTACAGTGTATGTACTGTAGTAACTAATTCTTCAAGATCTTCTGTAAGTAAACAGCACAGCACATACATGAAGTCAAGGTGCGTGTAGGTCAATAATTACTTTATAAAAACAACAATAACAGATTTCTTAATGACGTTCGTATGTAGATTAAATCGAATCGTGAAGGTAATTATCAAAAGATCGAAAACGACTAATATTAGTCATTGCCATTAAAAATCTACACGTTTGTGTAACGTTATTAACAGGGATTTTCATTGTAATTTAGAGTTTTTGTAATGATCTAAAGGCTCATAATGTGAAAGGTTGTGTAAGCGTCGGAGTACGCTACTCAAATATACAAATGATAAAACTCATTATAATAAAAGATTATTAAGCAACCATTTTTCCATGTTCTGTATGATATTAATTTTTGTAGCTTCTTTAAATATATGTACACTTTTCTATGCTAATAATAACGAACATTTGCGCTGTATCAATTAGAAAATATTACAACTCAGCAGGAACGTGGGATACGTGCCCTGATTATTTCAGATTCGTCTAGTCATCAGTAAAATACAATACGTTTTTTTTTCTATTTATTATCAATTGTAAGAACAAAATAAAACCTGTTCACGTACAACTGATTATAATTATATATAAAGTTTCTTAATTTATTTTAGTGTTAACTGTGTTATTTTCAATAGAGGAGTAGTGAATAGCATGCTAAAATTCTTAGAAAGAGCTTGTACAATTAATACACTAGCAATATTCTGCATTATAATGCAGTAGATACAAACACCATTAGGACAGTCTAAGGTGTCGCAGAGCTCTTCTGGGATTGGATCTCCGCACAATGGCCGTCATTCAGTACTAATATATCTGCAGTGGAAGCGACAGACCAAGGTTTGTTACAACCTTATTGACCGCCAACTTGCAGGCGCAGTCATACTACTTAAACTGTCGCGTCGTTTGGGCGGGTCTCATCTTTGATAGTGCTCTAATGATATTGGATGGAAATATAAATTTACGATGGCGATGGCTAGATAGCGTGCTACGTGTACGCGTGCACCTGTCTGGAACTGCCAGGGTTGTTTCTAACTTTTGCCAGAGGTAGTTAGTTACTCTCAGAAATAACTATTGATCGATTTGTCAGGGGGACCGACCACAAAATTATCATGCTGATTCTGTCGACGATGGAGATACTTTCTTCCAAGCTTATTCGTGCTAAATCGGAAATTAAAATGTTATTCACATGTTTTTGTAAATTTCTGTAAAAACTATTTCTGGATAAGAATTAAGTCATTTTCCTTGATAACAGACATTACACTTATAATAATACAGCTCACCGTATCGTTACAGTCTTATGTTGCTGCGTCCGGCCATGGCACCTGACGACTGAGCATTTTGATATTATTCCTGCAGCGTAGTTTCCATTGCAAAAGGCTCCGTCATAAAACTGTCGTGACCAAAGCACACTGCTCCTCCATTTTAGCTTTCCACAATCCATCTAGTGTACAAGGACGATAGTTTCCCAGTGCCCATTTCAACAGTCCAATCACGCTGAAATCCAGCGAATTAGTCGGTTTGTTTTTGTATGGAATAGTATGAATACCCATTACTTGAAGTATGCATCTGGTTTAATTGGAAGTATAACTGGAAGCCTTATCTTGATGAGCCCATACCTTGTTGGCCTCGTTTCTTGATTATGTGATGTATTGTTCCTGGGTTACGTTGATGGTTTTTGCTATTAACCTTTGTGTTCTTTAATTCTCACTTTGCTTACCCCAGCTGGGGTAGGACTTGTTGCAAGTCATTTTGTGGATGGTCGTGGTGCCTCAAGGTTATCAATATTCCTTTGTTTTCCAATGTCATTAAGTGAAAGAAATATCCCCATCTTGGAAGCTCAAATCATCCGATGTGAACACGTTTTACTGACCTCAGTGTATGAATATTTTGTGTTGGAAAGGGTATTTACCTCAAACCTTTCCCAAGAGCAACCAATTTTTGGTGGCATCACACTACCCATTAAGAAACGCTACATTCATATCAAAATGTAGTTCTGTTGTATGCCATTCCACCACAACTTTATATCGGCTGTGGGTTTCACGTGACTTGCTGATCTGCATATTCAAAATCATTTCAATATAACGTACTCAACCCGCTGTATCTATTTCATAACCAAAATAATGTTTTGCAACCCAAAACATTTAACAATAGCCAATGTCTTCCAACAGCATGTTTGTCAACAGAATCTGAAATGTCACCAGTTTATTACTACGTTTGAAATTACAGGTTTTATAAACTTTCAGAGTTAGGTTTACTATATAAATCTTTTTGCCTCTACAGAAGGCCCATAGGAATTTATAAATGAAATATAAGTTTAAAATCGTTAGAGGAGATGTATTATTCGCATGCCCTTTGGTTCACTGATAGCCTATTGTGGGGACTGAAAAAAACACATAAATATAAAATCTTATTTGGGGCTATATTTGTGTGGAACGAGTTAAAACATCTTGTCGACTACTTTATTCCTATATTGATTAAACAAATATGCAAATTGTTATTGGATGCTACATTCCAATGCCGGAATATTATAACAGAGTTACAAGCTCTATTTTTGCGTATACCACTAAGAGCAGGATATTTCTTATAATTTTGACGCTTATTTTATTGGCTTTTATCTGATATAATCCCTGTACCGGGTAAACGCCGATGTAATGTTTTTTAATACAACTTTTCATAACCTTATCCAATTTTAGCCCCTCTGCAGTGTTTTATAATTCTTATCCCTGCTGGTAGTTTTTTGTTTTTGCTACTCGGACTTTATCTATCTGTATTTATGTAGCTGCCATTGCGAAATACAATACTTACAAAATAGTTAAAACATTAAGAAATTAACAGTCCAATGTGTTCTTGCGCTGTGTTAGTGTTTCGACTAGGTTTAAGCAATCCAATGTGTTCTTGCACCGTTTTAGTGTTTCTACCAGATTAAAATAATACAGTGTGCTCTTCCTCTATATAGGTGTTATGACTTTGGTAAAATATCACATACAGAAGTGAAATTGACTTACATGACTCTGATGTTCCTTTTTCTTTGCCAGTTCTGCTAAAAAACTGACCACAATTGTCTAAGGTTTTCTTCTCTCAATACGTTCTTCATACACTTACATTCAAATTAGGCATCACCAACAGTATGTAAGGTTCAACTACTACAAGAAATGTTGTCGGCTACTTTATTCCTATATTGAATAAACAATGTAATTAAACATAATTAACGATTCACTATATAGATAAATAAAGAGGGTAGTATGTTTGAGTACTCTGTTCTTATATTTGCATATTTTAAAGTACTTTGTTTCTATAGTTTCTAAAAACATAATTAACGATTTACTATACAGAAAATTAGAACTGGTAATATTTTCTAGAACTTTCTTCCTGTATTTACTAGAAAACACGTAATATTTTACTGTACTGCGTTTCTATATTTCATACGAAATTTGATTAAAATCACTTCATAGATAAACAAAACGGGTGATATTTTCGATTACCTTTGTTTCTATATGTACTAAAAATATGCTTTTTTTATTTTATTTTTTCGTTTTGTTGTTAAGCGCAAAACTATATAATGCGCCCCCTGTCCACGATGGATATCGAAATCCGATAGTTAACGTTTTAAACCCTCAGACTGGACCCGAGATACGGGAGGAGGAAGAGAAAAATGATTAACGATAAATAAATAAAGCGAATGACATGCTTAACAATAATGCCAAACAACATTAATATTAGGAAACAATGCTGTGTAATATTCATATGGTAAACAAGAAGAAGCATATTTTTGCCACAATGTGTATTATGCGTTATAAATCCTTATTAACAAACTATATGTGTGTTTCACTCTCTTATATCATAACTTATATAACTAGGTAAAAAAAAGTTTGTTCTTTAAGTTACTGAGAAATAAAGTTTTCAAAATTAATCATATTTTACCTGCATTTCGTTATTTTTTTGTAGATAAACAACGTCGTCGTAAAGTCCTACGGTAACGGTCTAAAATGAACACACCATTATAATTAGGGTTCAACAACAAAAACAAACAATTTTATTTACAATAACAAACACTTTGAAATAAACACCAAAACAAAGTTAATAAACAAGTACCTGGCCAGGATTGCACACCGGTATTATTTATCATAGATATTAATATATCAAAAATAATGGAATCGGGAAAAAAATAATTGAAATAAATAAATATATACAGCTAATACAATATTCCAAAAATACCTTCCAATATCAACAACAATATCGAGTAATAAACAGCAATAATTTTCTTTCTTTCTTTCTTTCTCTCTCTCACGGAAGCTTCTGGCAGGGTATTTATTCACGAATAGATCACGAGAGTACAACCTCATGTGATCATAAATTTACATACTCTTTTGCTACATTAATAGTATCTGTACGTCGCCGCTAGGGAAGCTGGTGTCTGTTTCATAATACACACACATATTTACTCAAAGTACAAATGATTATGTAGAAGATGAATTAGCGTTTTAATGCAACTAAAAATTCATAGATAAACTAAACGATAGAAGGAAATAATAAATGAACAAATAAACACAACCATAATAATAAAAAAATATAATTTGCTATCTCACACTAATGACATTAATTACTTCGTATAAAATATCCCAATTTTCGTATCCTTACTTTTAACACCCAACCCTCCTTATACTGACATCATGAATCCTTAACAGTTTAAGTAAAGATACCTTGCAATAATAATACAGTTCTCGTTTTTGAATCTTTAGCTATATCTTCTGGCTCTGGTTCGGTTTACCGAAGGTTTAACACTTTGAAGACCAGCCAAATACGATACTTAACCCTACGACGTGGCCGCAATGTCCTTTGAGGAGGAGATAGAGGTAAGTCATCAGCATGATCTGTTGAAGGATGAGAAGTGGACATACCAGCAAAAGCCCGTTTTTGTGATGGAACGATCGTCAAGTCTTCTGTAGGCAACATTTTCGTTTTGCTGCAATGGCCTAGGACTATTATTATCTTTTTTACTGTATAGAGAATTGTCACTGGGGAAATATAAGTCTCTCTCTCTATTAGAAACATGAAATCTTCCTATAACTGCACCAGATCTAGGATCTTTTAATTCATACACAGATGGAGTAACACACTTCGTAATTTCGAAAGGTCCATTCTACCTCTGAGCAAATTTGGCAGTAAAAGTATTTACTGCAGAAAATAAAGAATGTGTCCTTAATAATACGAAATCACCTACTTTAAATGCGTCTAGGCGTCTCTTACAGTTGTAGGCTTGTCGCTGTTGAGCCTTTTCAACATTGGTTCTTGCCTTCTGTATGACGGTTTGAGATGCTGTTGGGTATTTCGTTAGTCGGTCCCACGGAAGGAAGATCACACGTCTGTAGTGCAGTTTGGCTCGAGTGTAACCAGTCGATTCATGAATAGAAGTTTTAATCGTTAGAGAAAATTCAGATTTATGATTATCCTAAGTTCGATGATTTTTTCAATATAAGCAAATATTATTCTACCAATATTTCTATTAATATTAGACTGAGGATGATATGGAGTTGTAAAGATGTGTTTAATTCCCATAGCTTTACAAGTTACATCCATTAAACGAGACAAATTGTGGGCCATTATCAGACACAGGAGTCTTTGGAATACCATATCTACACAAGTATTCATTAATTCGTTTTTTGACAGTCACCTTCGGAGTTATTTGTTTGAGAGGATATAATTAAATCCATTTACTGAAATAATCTGTCACAATCAACAAATAACTACTTCCTGTTCCAGACTTAGGGTAAGGTCCCATGATGTCTACTCCTATTATCTCACCAGGTTCCATTAGTTTAGTGCTTAAACATAAATCCAGCTGGCCGCTGCTGATCAAGTTTAGGGATTTGACAAATGTGGCACGACAACTCAAATTTTAATGTCCTTTCTCATACCAGTCAAATAACCACATATGTCTATTATTTTTCGGACTCTTAGATGACCAGCCATAGGATGATCATGCAATTCGATTGGCATCGTCAGTCTCAATGTTTTGGGAAAAACTGGTCTGAATTTACCATTGCTAGCAACCCTTTTTGTGTAATAAAAAAAACATTATCATTCAAGACAGTGTTTGAATTTATTTACAGTCTCTGCAATTATAGTAGAATGGTGTAGTAATAGTCTAGTTTTCAAATAAGAGTATATATGTGATTATATTCATCATCTTTATTTGCTTCAGTAGCCAATTGTTCTCTAGTGTTGAAATTGACAATGACAAGAAGTTTAGGTGATAGCTTGTTGATGTCTAAATCTGGAGTTTCTTCTGGGGTGGGGTCAATAAGATATCTAGATAGCTCACCAGGAAACTGGTTCTCTTTTCCTTTTCTGTACAGTATTTCAAGTGTTAAGTCTTGTAATTTGAATGACCAACACGCCAGTCTACCAGTTAACTATGAAATGTCGACAGTTATAACTAAGTTGTTCCCCATCCAGGTATATCTGAATTTTTTTTATAGCTCCAACTATGGCTAGATATTCTAACTATGTAGTAGTATAATTTCTTTCTGAAGAGTTCAGTGTTCTACTGGCATATGCTATGGCACTCTTCTGACACAATATTACATTTAATGTAACATTTAAGACACCAGTATGCAAAAAATAGTGTTCACCTTTTCTTTGAAGTTGCAAGACAGGGGATTCATAAAAAGCTTGCTTTAATTTCTAGAATGCATCCTCACACTGGGAGGAGGGGGGGGTCATTTCAACCCGATACATTTCCTTCGTAACTAATATAAAGGTTGAGCAGTTATAGCAAAGTTTAGAATGAATTGATTGTACCAGGCACACATACCCAAGAATGAGCCTAAATTTTTGCAGTTGCTGGGAGTTAGGAAGTCTGTGACAGTTTTCACTTTGTCATCATTTGTGTGTATTCCCTCAGAAGAGAGTTTAAATCCTAAATGTGATACTTCTGATTGACAAAATGTGCTTTTAGAAACTTTTACATTTGTACGTTACTTGTAGAAAACCAATTCAAGGTATGTTTTCAAGTTTGTTCAAATGTGGGAGAAAACCCAATAATATCATCAATATAAGTATTGCAACGTCCAGTTGCTCTTGTAAAAGCCTTATCCACAAGTCTTTGGAAGGCGGAAGGTTCATTTGTAGGACCAAAAGGCATAACTTTAAATTAATAAAGTCAGTTATCCATTATGAAGGCAGTTTTATGTCGATCCTCCATCTTAACAGATATTTGCCAATATCCATTGGGTAAGTCTATTGTACTAATACAGGTTGCCCCTTGACAAACCATTTAAAATATCACTTATATGATGTAATGGATAGTGGTCAGATTCGGAGACTTGATTTAACTTCCTGTAGTCCAGACAGAACCTGAAATCATGAGTCTTCTTAGCAATAAATATACAATAAATAAAGCCCAAGAAGAAGTGGAGGGTTCAATTAAAACATCACGAAACATTTCATCCACTTGATCATGTAGCACTTGCAATTTAGTGGGAGAATGAGAATAAGGTTTACTAAACACTGGCTTTTCTGTCATGGTATGGTTATAATCCTATGTTCAGACAAATCTGTGAGGCCAGGTTTATTGTTAAAAATATCGGCATATTTCAACACAAGTTGCTTTAATTGTTCACAGTCTTTACCCTTTAAATGTGAACATTTTACTTCTTCAGTCGGTATCTTTTCAGTCTCAAGAGTAATACCTAACAGATGGAATATTTAATTCAAGAACATTTGTGAAGAAGTTAAAGGTTACATCGTTTTGCTGAATGAAGTCAAATCCAATAAAACTAAATACAGCCAAATCTCTGACGATAACAAAACATTTGTCCACAATGCTATTTGTTACAAATAGTTTTGCTTCAAAACATCCTAACAGTTGACAGTTCGTCATTCCATCTGCAAGACACATCTTACCTTTACTCCAAGATTTTAGTTGAAGTGTTGGATCATTTCTCTTGATTTCTTGCCATTTTGATTTAGTACTGAATAATCCAACCCAGTATCTATACGACCTACTACTTTCACACCATTAATTTTTAGGGTTAGGTGTGGCGGATCCGTTTTGGTCGTTGTTAAATAGTTAATGAAGGGTTTTACTTTCACGGAACTCCAAACCTCCTTCTTTGATCCTTGCTCTGGTTTCCCGACCGTAGTCCTTAGTTTCTTTGTTCCCTATATACATATTTTATTTTATTGTGATAATGTATAGATAAGTGCCCCTTTGTTTACAAGTATAGCATCACACAGTTCTATTACGATTCTCAGTTTTAATCACTTCACTATTAATGATTAAAAGTTTCTTGTTTATTACTCCGGCGATGCTCGTATTGTTTAATAAATTTAAGCACATCAGCAATATATATATATATATATATAACAAAGTAGCATTTCAAGTATTCTCGTAAAGAAACATGCAATTGTGATATTATACACTTCACAATTTCAATTTCCGTAGCTTCAGGGTTCCGTAATTTATAAATTTTCAGTTTTTCCAAATAAACGTTTCAACTGACTCTCCTGCACTAGCGTAGTACATCCTATTAAAGAGTTCCTTAGCCAATTCGCTATTGTCTAACACTGTTGGGTATGAATTAGTCAATGTTTCTTTAAATTCTCCCTAGTGTTCAAAGCCATTTCTGATCCGAAAGCATTCTAGTGACCCCCCCCCCCCTCAAAGAAGAAGCCACAGTTTCCACCCATTTATTCTCAGGTACTTGATGCATATAAAAATGTCTTTTCAGACTTTCAAGAAACACAAAGACATTAAAATCCGACTTACCGTCAAAGTTCTCAACAGGCAGGGGGTGGTGGTTTGATTATTGTGACGTAAGTCAATGAATTTTCCCACACGTCTGTAGGTAGAAAGAGCTCTCGATGTTTGTGGTTGAGAGGTGGGAGACTTAGGTTCTCTTGCTAGTAAATCAGTCACCATACGTGTTCTGATGATACTGACACAGACTACTTTAAGCTTGCCACAGACTCACTAATTTCCATAGTAACACCGTTATTTTCAAACACTAGTTAAATTATATTTAACTGAACTTAAATTATTGCCGAATTAATCACTTGACACCAAATTGAGAAACAAACAAACAAACAAAAATCCAAAGTCACAATTCAACCTTTATGAAAAAGATCCGTGTTCGGGCACCAATGCAACGGTCTAAAATGGCCATCAGGGTTCAATAACAACAACAAAAACAAATTTATTCACAATAAAAACACTTAGAAATAAAAACGATTAATAAGCAAGTGTCTAGCCAGGACTTCACACCAATATTAATAAACAACTTATCATAAATATCAATAAATCAATAACAATAGAATGAGGAAAAAGAACCAGAACCTAATTTAAAAAATAAATAACAAAATAGAGCAACTACAAAATTCCAACAATACCTTTCATTATCAATAACAATATCGAGTGATAAACAGCAATAATTCACTATATTTTTTATTTATTTATTAACCCACCCTCATAGAGTGGCATATACATAAAAACGGTACAACTCTCTCTCTCTCTCTTAATGAAGCTTCTGGCAGGGTATTTGTTCACAGAGTAGATCACGAGAGTACAGCCTCGTGTGGTCATAAATTTACATACTCTTCTGCTACATTAATAGTATCTGTACGTCACCGCTAAGGAAGCTGGTGTCAGTTTCATCATACACACATATTTACCCAAAATACAAATGATCATGTAGAAGGTGAGTTAGCGTTTTAATGCAACTAAAAATTAATAGATAAACTAAATGATAGAAGAAAATAATAAATGAACGATAAACACAACCATAATCATTAAATAAAAATAGAATTTGCTATCTCACACTACCGTTTGTGAAAAAAATTAACGAACTTCAAACAACCACAAATAAAAATACTCATATTTTTTTTACGGAATGTAATATTAATGCAAAATCCTTTTTTCATTGTAAGTCGTAGAACTCAATT